TTATGGTGGTCATTATAACACTTAATTAAATTACTGTAAGCCAAAACAATGAAATTAACAATAAAAGACAAGAAACAATGGATGGAAACTAATCAAGAGGAGCAATCTGGAACTCAGGAGAAACTCCCTGACAGTGAGAACAATTAACCAGTGGAACAACCTGCCACCAGAAGCGATGAATGCTCCAACACTGGAGATTTTTAACCATATGTCTGTACATGGTTTCCTGTCTGAGCAGGAGGTTGAAGATCTCCATGGTCCCTTCCAGCTCTGTATTCTCTTATTCTGTTGGGAGATCTCTAAGATCCCTTCCAACTCTGCTTTTCTGTTCTTTTGTGTCTGTTCATTTGTGTCAGAAGAAATCTAGCGGAGCTAATGGGATCGTGGACGATCCAGAGCGGAACTAATGGGGGGATATAGAAGGCAAGGGACCAGCCAGAGGAATCGAGCGGAGCTAATGGGGGTCAGGGAAGGCAGGGGGCTAGTAGGAAAGCTAATGGGGCAGGGAAGGCAAGGGGCCAGCGAGGAGAAATGGTTGCCCAAATCTGGATCTCGCCTCCTGCCCCCAGCACGCACTATTAAGCAATCCGGGACAGGAAGATCAGTTGATTAGGATTTATTGGGAACGTTCCCGTTGAAAAGCATTCTGTCATGCAAAGAGGGAACCTGGAACTCAAAAGTTTTAATTTTTTGCAGTTTAACTCATCCAAGGTAAGTACAAAGTGAAATTCCCCTTTACACAGAAAGTCGGTTATATGAACTTAACAGAATAACTGAATAGCAGAATAACAGAAGGGACCGTGGAGGTCTTCTAGTCCAACCCCCTGCTCAGGCAGGAAACCCTATACCATTTCGGACAAATGGCTGTCCAGTCTCTTCTTAAAAACTTCCAGTGTTGGAGCACTCACAACTTCTGGAGGCAGGTTGTTCCACTGGTTAATTGTTCTAACTTTCTGGAAATTTCTCCTTAGTTCCAGGTTGCTTCTCTCCTTGATTAGTAGGTACCGAGGTGCGCGAGGGGAATGCGCTCCACCACGGGCCAAAGAGCAAGTTGAAAAAAAACAAGCTAATTTTTCCATTTTGCCCCATTGCTGTGACGGCCATAATTATCCGTCCTTAAGTTAGTATTTTGTTGTTTTTAAGGTATTCGTTCCTGTGGCTTTTTAGGATTGTGATCCGTTTTTATATTAGCTGTTTCATCTCGTGTTGTGTGCACCACCCACTTGGGCGAGACGGGCAGGTGTACAAATTTGATTCCTAAATAATAAATACATCGGAGCTCCTTTCAAGATCTGCTAGGAACATTTTATCAGGACGGTGGGTCTTTCTAAAGTTTCTAAAGCAAATCACACCAGGAACGACCATATATTATTTATTTATTTGGTAAATTTGTGTAGCTGCCGATCTCACATGGGTGACCCTGAGCAGCATACAAAGTTAAAAACACAAAACAATGCAACAAAATAAGTTTCCTTATTTTGTCTTGCCATGGATCTGTTGTAGAACACTCTTATACAGATAGTTAATAATAATAATAATAATAATAATAATAATAATAATAGTAGTAGTAGTAGTAGTAGTAGTAGTAGTAGTAGTAGTAGTAGTAGTAGTAATAGAATTCAAACAGACAAGCACCCGCAACATAACACCCCGGACTTAACAATTGTCGATAAGAAAGACAAAAAAAGTCTGGATAGTGGACGTGGCAGTGCCTGGAGACAGCAGAATAGAAGAGAAAGAACTGGAGAAGAGAACAAAATACAAAGACCTACAAATAGAAATAGAAAGACTGTGGCAAAAGCAAGCAAGGGTAGGACCAATAGTAATAGGCGCCTTGGGTGCAATCCCAAAACAACTGGAGCACCACTGGAACACCATCATCGGCATTGACAAATTCACCATTAGTCAATTGCAAAAGGCGGCCTTATTAGGAACCGCTTCCATCCTGCGATGATATCTGTAATACCATCAAATAATAATAATAATAATAATAATAATAATAATAATAATAATAATAATAATAATAATAATAATAATAATAATAATGATGATAAAGTTGGAAGGGACCTTGGAGGTCATCTAGTCCAACCCCCTGCTCAGGCAGGAAACCCTATACCATTTTGGACAAATGGCTGTCCAGTTTCTTCTTAAAAACTTCCAGTGTTGGTGCATTCACCGCTTCTGGAGGCAGGTTGTTCCACTGGTTAATTGTTCTAACATCTGCCTATCCCAGGTCCTTGGTAAGGACTCGATAGGTAGACAAAATGCCAAATCCAGTCTGAACATCTGGCGGACTGTGCAATGATGATGATGATCATCATCATCATTATCATCATCATAATAATAATAATAAAAGTTGGAAGGGATCTTGGAGGTCATCTAGTCCTCCAAGGGAGTTGAAGTCCACAAGTCTTCAAGTGGCCAAGGTTGAGGAGCCCTGATTTAAATATTAAAATATTCATTATTGGGAACACTCTGCTGATTGTCCTTCTTGCAATCCAAGGCTGAGCTGAAAATGTTCTTTGACCTGGCAATTCGCAACCTGGGTCTTGCTTAAGTGCCCGATATTAAAACCGGAGGCGTACAGTGCCGAAGGTTACGTTCCAGACAATTAGCTGATCTGAAACAGGAGTGGACAGATTACTAATCCAACTTGCAAATATTGTTAAGTGTTTCCAGATCTTGTCCGGAGCGGAGGAGTTTGCAAAAAGGTTGACCGGCTCTGATGAAGGTCAAAGAAGAAAGAAAGAAAAACAGATTCAACCCCGTATATATATATGACCCCAGTTAATAATTGGTATTACTCAGTGTTTTTTTCTAAAAAAAAAAAAAAAGTGCCAGAACTCACACACGTCATACAACCCGCCTTGCCTACCCTACAAGGTTCCATCCAAAAAAAGTGCCGGAACTCCGTTCTGGGCGTTCTATGAGAAAAAAAGCCCTGATATTACTCATTCGTGGTCCTCAACACTGGCTCGGAGGAAAGAATTTAGAAATGTATTCATAGGGTTAGAAGGGACCTTAGTGGTCTTCTAGTCCAACCCCCTCATTGAGCAGGAGATCCTATCCCATTTCAGACAAATGGCTGTCCAGTCTCTTCTTTAAAACTTCCAGTGTTGGAGCATTCATCGCTTCTGGAGGCAGGTTGTTCCACTGGTTAATTGTTCTCACTGTCAGGAAGTTTCTCCTTAGTTCTAGGTTGCTTCTCTCCCTGATTAGTTTCCATCCGTTGCTTCTTGTCCTGCCTTCAGGCGCTTTGGAGAACAGCTTGACTCCCTCTTCTTTGGGGCAGCCCCTGAGATACTGGAAGACTGCTATCCTGTCCCCCCTCGTCCTTCTCTTCATTAAACTAGACATACCCAATTCCAGCAACCGTTACTTATATGTTTTAGCCTCCAGTCCCCTAATCATCTTTGTTGCTCTTCTCTGTACTCTTTCTAGAGTCTCAACATCTTGTTTTACATCGTGGTGACCAAAACTGGATGCAGTATTCCAAGTGTGGCCTTACCAAGGCCTTGTAAAGTGGTATTAATACTTCATGTGATGATGCAGCCTAGGATTGTATTGACTTTTTTGGCAGCTGCAGCACATGGCTGGCTCATACTTAAGTAGTGGTCCACTAGGACAGGGGTCCCCAACCCCCAGTCCGTGGACCAGTACTGGGCCGCGGCATGACAGCCACCGGTCTGCACAAACAAGGAAAGCCCCATACACAGGATGCAGGCAGCACACAAAACCACACTCCCTCCGGTCCACGGAACCAGTCCCTGGTGCCCAAAAGGTTGGGGTCCTCTGTACTAGGACACATACATAAATCACAAGGTATTACTATTGAGACAGATGTTGCCTGTTCTATAGCTGTGCGTCTGATTTTTCCTACCGAGGTTTTTTTGTAAACTTATTTTTGCTTTTTTTTTTATCACCCACAGCACGATAGATTGGGATCTGCAACACACATTTTGCAAAAGAAATAGTTGATATATAAGGGTGGAGGTTGGCTGTTTCGGCTGATTTGGATTCTGAGGGCTTCGTAGGCTAGTTGTAAGTTGATGTGTCTGTTATGGAATTGCTTGTGGTGTGTCAGCTTTCGACGAACTCACGAGCGCAGCGGATGGTAGCGTGGCCGATGGTTTTAGTGTTGCTCCAATCGAACTGGTGCTGTTTGGCGTCGGTGTCCGTAGAGATTAAGGGTTGGGGATTGTGGCGTTTGACAGCCAGCCGGTTTCCGTGGATCCTGTTTTTTAACTATCGCGATGTTTGTCCCACGTAGTTGATACATGAATAGGATCCAGCTTCACAAACATCTGGCTGTAGAAATCCCAAGGAAAGGATGCAGTGCTAGTTGACACTTTGGTTAAGCTTGAAAAATGGGTAGACCGATTCACGGAAGTTCTGGAGATCAAGAGCTGTTGGTGGCCATCTTCTAGGAGATTGATGGTCTTCCTGGTGCAGTTGGTTGGCCACTGGGAGAACAAACTGCTGGACTAGAGAGAGCGGGGGTCCCATCTAGCAGGACGCTGCTCATGTGCTTTGGTTATTTTGGTCGTCCTGGTTGAGAATTTTGGGAACCAAAATCCCATCTCCTGAAACTGAAGATCATGGTCAAAGTGTGGTCTCATTAAGGAAGATACTAATCGGTTTCCTCCATTGAGAACTCTTGAAAGTACGAAGAAAACTATCCAGTTGCTCGTCTCCCAATGACGTCCATGACTTCTGGAGCCTCGGTCTCTGCCCTCTCTTTCCCCTAGTTTGGAGGAAAAATGCACAACTGCAAATTGTCCACATTTTACTCACCTCACGCCTGCGACCTTGTCGTATTAGAGGAGGCCACTGGCATGGACAGGAATGCGTTGTGAATTTTATGAGACCCAGACCAGGCTGCTGATGTCCAACCCACGTAGACCTCTCAGCTGTATAAATGCTGGTGGCTACCAAGAAGAAATCCAGACAAGATTTCCTGGGCAATCCTATAAACAAGACCACCAGCCGTGGTTGTCACGATGTCTTACAACATGTTGGCTTTCTGCTTATTTTCGTTGCTCGCTTTTTCTTCTGCTTGCTACATCCAGAACTGTCCCATTGGAGGGAAGAGATCCATTCTGGATATGGAAGTCAGAAAGGTAGGTATCCAGGGAATTATGGTGGAGAATTATGGGTACAGAGGTAGCCAGGTGTCAGAATTGATGGACTTATCTCTCTCTCTCTCTCTCTCTCTCTCTCTCTCTCTCTCTCTCTCTCTCTCTCCTCTCTCTCTCTCTTTCTCTTGGTTAACTCGACCGCTAAGGATAATCTTGATAGACAGCAGAATCAATTCTCTCAAGAGTAAATAGGAATATTAAAGAGTACAGAGAAGAGCAACAAAGATGATTAGGGGACTGGAGGCTAAAACATATAAGGAACGGTTGCTGGAATTGGGGATGTCTAGTTTAATGAAGAGAAGGACGAGGGGGGACAGGATAGCAGTCTTCCAGTATCTCAGGGGCTGCCCCAAAGAAGAGGGAGCCAAGCTATTCTCCAAAGCATCTGAAGGCAGGACGAGAAGCAACAGATGGAAACTCATCAAGGAGAGAAGCAATCTAGAACTAAGGAGAAACTTCCTGACAGTTAGAACAATTAACCAGTGGAACAACCTGCCTCCAGAAGCTGTGAATGCTCCAGCACTGGAAGTCTTTAAGAAGAGACTGGACAGCCATTAGTCCGAAATGGTATAGGGTTTCCTGCCTAAGCAGAGGTTGGACTAGATGACCTCCAAGGTCCCTTCCAACTTTACTACTACTACTACTACTACTACTACTACTACTACTACTACTACTACTACTACTATTATTATTATTATTATTATTATTTCAATGGGGAAAACCAGATTCACTTAACAACCGGGTTACTAACTTAACAACAGCAAGGATTCACTTAACGACCGAGGCGAGAAAGGTCGTAAAACAGGGCAAAACACACTTAACAAATGTCTCCCTTAACGACAGAAATGTGGAGCTCCCTGGTACTAAATATTTATGAAGTAACCTTGACTAATCTTTTGAAGGTTGTTTTTTCTCGCTAGTGCATTTCCTGCGGGCCGAGGAACCGAGGCCACTGCTTCGGGCCCAACATCTGTTGCGGAGAAGAGCTGGGTTGTTACTTTGGCACAGCGGAAACTTTGCGATGCCAGGAAGAAATTTTTCTCCCGACCCCTTGCGAGTCTGGAAGGAAGCCGTGCGGGAGCAACGGGGGAACCTGTGCTGCCTCTGGCATCTGCTGCAATCACGGTAAGCGCGGGATAACCTTCTTCCGGAATTTTTTTTTTTAACAAAAAAAAATACAGGTGGTCCTTGATTTATAGTCCTCGATTTACGTCCGTCATTGAGCCCGGGATCGTGACGTTTTTTTTTAATTAAAAAGTTTTTTATTTATAATACAATTTAAAAAGAAAAAAGAAAACATTGGACATGACGTAACATTCCAGTTTGAACATTTCTATCAAATTATTTCCCCTCTTACATTCAATTCTTTATCTCTATAAATATATATAAACTTTTTATACAATACTTAATACATTTTCTTTATTTGCTAACCTAGGAATATATATATTTCCACCTTATCGCTAATCTATAACCCCAACGGTCCTCCTCGATTCCCACCAATGGTACAATTTATCCCAGATTTCAAAATATTCTAATCCGCTTTTCTCTTTCAATTCCATCGTAAGCCTGGATCGTGACGGTTTTTAAGTGGACCGTGAAGCGAACACGGCGTCTGATTTTATGATCTGTTTCGCGACGGTCGTTAAGCGAACCCAGCAGGCGTAAAGCCACCCCATTGCTATGGGCAGTTTTTGCAGGTTATCAGAAGTAAATGTTGGTTTGGGGGCAAAATGTCCATCGTGGTTATGTGACTGTGGGACACTACAAATGGCGGTCAATGGGGGCCAGTGGCCAAGCAGAGATTCCTTTAACAACTGTGGCAAAAAAGTTCATTGTTGTTGTTAGTTGCGAAGTCGTGTCCGACCCATCACGACCCCACGGACCACGTTCCTCCAGGCCTTCCTGTCCTCTACCATCTTCTGGAGTCCATTGAAGCTCATGCCTCCTGCTTCGGTGACTCCATCCAGCCACCTCCTTCTCTGTCGTCCCCTTCTTCTCTTGCCCTCCATCTTTCCCAGCATCAGGCTCTTCTCCAGGGAGTCCTTCCTTCTCATTAGGTGGCCAAAGGACTTGAGTTTCAACTTCAGGATCTGGCCTTCTAAAGAGCAGTCGGGGTTGATCTCCTCTAGGGCTGACCGGTTGGATCGCCTTGCAGTCCAGGGGACTCGCAGGAGTCTTCTCCAGCACCAGAGTTCAAAGTCCTCCATTCTTTGGCGCTCAGCCTTTCTTATGGTCCAACTTTCACAGCCATACATTGCAACTGGGAAAACCATGGCCTCGACTATGCACACTTTTGTTGACAGGGTGATCATAAAATGGGGCAAAACTCATTTAACAACTGTCCTCAATTAGCAACGGAAAATTTGGACTCAGTCGCAGCCGTAAGTCAAGAATTACCTGTAGCCAACCTGTTTTTTTCTTTGCAAGTTTTCATTTCCATTTCAGCCCGGAGAGGGGTTGGAAGTTTAGGGTCATCACAAGTTGCTAATATAGCTCTAAAAAAACCAGCATCATTTTCCTTCGGGATATTAATAGATCCCACAGGGCAAAAATGTCTATTAACAGACAGGGACACAAGAAAACGTGGTCTTCAAACTTGTCAACTTTTAAGACTTGAACGCTGTTGTTGATATTAACTTTTTTTTAACCGTTTCTTTCGCTTTTGCTCTTCCAGAGGGTTGCATGGTTGATTCCGTATGCGATCAAGAATGAGAAGATTCGAGGAAGAACGCTGCAAAAACAACTTTAGATTATGAACTGGTGGACAATAATACCAAACTGATGGCGATAAGATTGTTCCGAAATGTTTGCTAGGACATTTGCAATTCATATGTTTGTGCAAAATAAAAATTGAACAGCCATTCAAATCCACAATGTGTGTTCTCTTAGCTTTCCAATGATCAATAGAGCCCCTTCTCCAGGGAGATGGGTGGATGGATGGATGGATGGATGAATGAATCTATAGATATAGCTGGCTGACCGGCCGTACTCAGCGTGTGGTCCTCAATGGAACCGCATCTACATGGAGGGAAGTGTGTAGTGGGGTGCCCCAGGGCTCTGTTCTAGGCCCAGTGCTCTTCAACATCTTCATCAACGATTTGGACGAGGGGATAGATGGGGAACTCATCAAATTTGCGGATGACACTAAGCTGGCAGGAATAGCCAACACTCCAGAAGACAGGCTTAAGATACAGGAGGACCTGGACAGACTTGAACACTGGGCACTATCTAACAAAATGAAATTCAATGGTGGAAAAAGTAAGGTTCTGCATTTGGGCATGGGGAACCAAATGTACAGGTATAGTATAGGGGGTGCCTTGCTCAATAGTAGTAACTGTGAGAGGGATCTCGGAGTCCTAGTGGACAATCACTTAAATAGGAGCCAGCAGTGTGCTGCAGCTGCCAAAAAAGCCAACACAGTGCTGGGCTGCATTAACAGAGGAATAGAATCAAGATCACGTGAAGTATTAATACCACTTTAAAATGCCTTGGTAAAGCCACACTTGGAATACTGCATCCAGTTTTGGTCACCACGATGTAAAAAAGATGTTGAGACTCTAGAAAAAGTACAGAGAAGAGCAACAAAGATGATTAGGGGACTGGAGGCTAAAACATATGAGGAACGGTTGCTGGAATTGGGTATGTTTAGTTTAATGAAGAGAAGGACGAGGGGGGACATGATAGCAGTGTTCCAATATCTCAGGGGCTGCCCCAAAGAAGAGGGAGTCAAGCTATTCTCCATAGCACCTGAAGGCAGGACAAGAAGCAACGGATGGAAACTCATCAAGGAGAGAAGCAACCTAGAACTAAGGAGAAACTTCCTGACAGTTAAAACAATTAACCAATGGAACAACCTGCCTCCAGAAGCGGTGAATGCTCCTACACTGGAAGTTTTTAAGAAGAGACTGGACAGCCATTTGTCCGAAATGGTGTAGGGTTTCCTGCCTGAGCAGGGGGTTGGACTAGATGACCTCCAAGGTCCCTTCCAACTTTATTATTATTATTATTATTATTATTATTATTATTATTATTAACAACAACAACAACAACAACAATAATAATAATAATAATATTTAAGGGCCCATTAGGCTTACAAGGAGTGAGAAAATGAAATTTTTTTTTTTTTTTTACTATCCGGAGTTTGCTCCAAAGAAAACAGGCAAAGCGGAAACGTGTATTAAGAATTCCCAGGAAACAATGAAACAGAATTAGTGCAATTTTAGTGTTTCACAGGTACTCAATACTGAATCTAATCAAAGGGTCTTTAATAAGTTCTTCAAAAGCTAAATTAGATGTTGCTCATTATATTGCGGGAAGAAAGCATCCCATACCCTTAAGCTTGTAAGATCTACCTTTTGAATATAGGTGGTCCTCAATGAATGGCCACCATTAAATTTCCCTTGCTAGGTCAGGCAGTTGCTAAGCGAATTGTGCGTCCTTTTACCTTTTCTGTCACAACTGATCAGAAAATCATTGCATCAAAATCATTAAGTGAAACAAACCTGGCTTCTCCCAGCAAATCAGCTTCTCAGAAGCCGGCTGGGAACTTTACAAACAGTGATCACATTACCCCGGGACAGTGCAATTGTGGGAAGTCAGCCCCCCCACCCAGAGAAGGAAATATTAAAAGGGCAGAAAAATATATTTCCTCAAAAGGATTTTATAAAGCAGAAACCAACCCTGCCCCCAAGTCTCCCTGCCCCAAGCAGAAGCCAGCCCTGTACAAATGCAGATGTAAACCAACAGGAAAGTTGGAGCTAGAAGTTTAGGAAGACAAAGACACCTAACATCTGCATACCCCACCCAAACTCTAAGAGTCATTAGCCCCAGCACCAGGGAAGCAGGATATGACCTTGGGATATAATAGGATTAACCTACCACCATCAAGAATATCAGAAAGGCACACCCAGACTCAAGTCAGAATACCTGACACAGGAAATACAAAGCCTCAACACAGGAACAGGAAGCAACTCCAAACAAAAGGCTTTCAGAGGGTATAAAAACCTACTCCCCACATGTGCTCAGCCCTTTTTTTCTCTCCTTTTTCCTGCCAGAACCATCTTTCTGTCTGGCTCTTCAATAAACTGCAACCTTCTTTCTAAAGCAGTTGTTTATTTATCCCCGGCTTGGATGAACCAGGATGAATAAAGACTTTTCTTTCAACACAACTGTCCTAAATGCATGGGATTATGGGAAAGGCAAGCCAGGGATTATGGGGATCACTCAAAAGCAGACACGGGATTGTGAGAGATAATAATAATAATAATAATAATAATAATAATAATAATAATAATAATAATAATAATAATAATAATAATAATAATAATAATAAGAAGAAGAAGAAGAAGAAGAAGAAGAAGAAGAAGAAGAAGAAGAAGAAGAAAGTTGGAAGGGACCTTGGAGGTCATCTAGTCCAACCTCCTGGAACAACCTGCCTCCAGAAGCGGTGAATGCTCCAACACTGGAAGTTTTTAAGAAGAGACTGGACAGCCATTTGTCTGAAATGGTATAGGGTTTCCTGCCTGAGCAGGGGGTTGGACTAGATGACCTCCAAGGTCCCTTCCAACTTTACTTTATTATTATTATTATTATTATTATTATTATTATTATTATTATTATTATTATTATTATTATTATTATTACACTATTTCAGACAAATGGCTGTCCAGTCTCTTCTTAAAAACTTCCAGTGTTGGAGCTGTCATTCAGTCGAAGGATGGGATAAAGACAAGGCTGGTGACTCCTCCATTGGTCAAGTAGAGAGGGGTCACCTGGGGTCATGTCTATGTCAGGGGTAGGCAACCTTGGCTCTTTTATAACTCGTGGACTTCAACTCCCAGAATTCCTGAGCCAGCACGGCTCCGCTTGGAAACCTCTCCCTTTCCCCTCAGCATGGCTGGCTCAGGAATTCTGGGAGTTGAAGTCCACCAGTCATAAAAGAGCCAAGGTTGTCTACCTCTGGCCTATGTCTACCTGGGGCTTAATATGGCCACTTTCTAGGTTTGGAAATAAAAGAACCACGCAGACCGGGATGCAGAAGAACATCCCGGAGAGTATTATGGAATCAACGTGAGAATGCAAGCCTCAGGAATAATCAGACACCTATTGGCCAGAAATCCTAGAAGGGCACTTCAACTCCCAAACGCGCCCGGGAGGGGGAGCCACTTCCGGGATTGAGAGGACGCCCTTCCACCGCTGGACCGGAAGCTCCCCGAATGCGCCCCCATTCCTAACGTACCTTCCGGTCTGGGGCCGCGGAAAAGAGAGAGGGCGCTGTTTTTTCTGTTCGCTCTTCCTCTCGCGCTGAGCGGGACTGCATTTCCCGGCGGCCCTTCCGGTTCCCGTCCCCGAGGCATTGGGCCTGCGTTTCCGGCCCGATGCTGGCGGCGGGGCTGCGGGGTCTTCCCGGCCGGGCCGCCCTGCTGGGCCGCGGCGCCCCGAGCCTGGTTCTCTCCCGCGGCCGCAAGACCCGCCACGACCCTCCGGCCAAGTCCAAGGCGGACCGGATCAAGGTGCCGCCGCCCGTCGACCCGGCCGAGCTGCTGGTCGTCCTCGACCGCTACGAGCAGCACCGGCGGGTGGTGGGCGCCCTCAGGTGAGCCCCCTCCCCCGGGACTGCTGAGCCCATCCTCCCCAGCGGGGAAGGCCCGGGTGGGTCCTTGGAAGGGCAGGAAAGGATCTGGTGAGGGTCTCTGGGCTGCTGAAGAGGAGATGATCTCTTTGTCGTCTGTCTGTCTAAGCTTACCTGTCAATCATCTATTTCTCTAATCTGTCATCTTTCTTATCTATTCTAATCCATCATTTATCGTCTAATCTATATCTCTATATAACTATCATCTATATTATCTATATCATTATCTGTATCTAATCTAATCTATCGTGTATCTTATCTAATCATCTATCATCTAATCTATATATATAAAACTATCATCTACATCTCTAATCTGTCATCTCTTATCTATTCTAATGTATCTATTCTCTTATCTATTCTAATGTATCATATAACTATATAGCTATCATCTCTATATCTCTTATCTTTATCATTATCTCTATCTCTATCTGTATCTAATCTATATCTAATCTATCATGTATCTTATCTATCTAATCTATATAAAACTATCATCTATATCTAATCTGTCATCTCTTATCTATTCTAATCTATCATTTATCGTCTAATCTATATCTCTATATAACTATCATCTATATTATCTATATCATTATCTGTATCTAATCTAATCTATCGTGTATCTTATCTATCTAATCATCTATCATCTAATCTATATATATAAAACTATCATCTACATCTCTAATCTGTCATCTCTTATCTATTCTAATGTATCTATTCTCTTATCTATTCTAATGTATCATATAACTCTATATAACTATCATCTCTATATCTCTTATCTTTATCATTATCTCTATCTGTATCTAATCTATATCTAATCTATCATGTATCTTATCTATCTAATCTATATAAAACTATCATCTATATCTAATCTGTCATCTCTTATCTATTCTAATCTATCATTTATCGTCTAATCTATATCTCTATATAACTATCATCTATATATCTCTTATCTATATCATTATATCTATCTAATCTAATCTATCGTGTATTTTATCTATCTAATCATCTATCATCTAATCTATATATATAAAACTATCATCTACATCTCTAATCTGTCATCTCTTATCTATTCTAATGTATCTAT